GGGAGGGATGCTATGGTTTCTTTTTAGAAATAGCATGTACATAAGCTTAAATAAATTTCGTAACAGCTTACCTCTGCGTGGAGAACCAAACAAGGCTCCTCGGAGAAGCAGAAATGAGCAGGAGGAAGGAGCTGGGCGCCCAGGGAGGTGGCACTGAGGGGCTGGGACGCACGCAGCTCTGGAGGCTCGGCCACTTGAGAGCCAGTGACGTGGGCAGGCTCCTCGAGGGGCCCTTGTGGAGGTGCGAGTGGAGCCCAGGCCAGCACACGTGCACCCTGGGTTAAGTCCCCGTTAACGTGGCTGCCGCGTCTACTGTGAGCACAGGCCCAGCTCAGGCCCTTGGGGGTGCAGAGCTCTTCACCTGGAATTGCCCCAAGGTCCAGATCATAACCGCGGCACCAGAAGTCCTAATCGGGCGGGACCACCTGTGCAATGTTTCCTCCCGAATCCCCGACTCGAGTTTGCCACATGCCGTAAGACTTTGCTGTTGGGATGTTCAAGGCCGAATCAGAAGCTTAACCGGGGCTGGCTGTGAATTCTGACCTGCTGCGAACTTTCTACATAGGGCTGAGCCACGGTTAGACTTTCCAGGCATCCCAATGGCCTCAGGCAGCACCAGAGTTTAGTATGGACGACTTGTCTAAGGATAAATGGAAATAACCAACACCCACAGACGCAGTTTGTAGATGGGTGGGTACGGGTATGGCTGCAAATACAGATATATAGATGCAGATACAGTTAGAGAGAGACAGAGAGAGGCGTATGTGTAGATACAGATGCAGATATATAGATAGATTTTGATATAGAATTTTTTTCAAAGCAGGCCACTGATAGAGAGGTCAATAGCATTCTAAAGCTGGGGGGCTGCTGATGAGAAAGGCATTCAGAAGGCACTGAGCATTCGAGGATTTTATGAACAAGCCATTCCCATGCAGCTAGTGAAATAGATGTTATTTATTTATTTATTTTAAAGATTGGCACCTGAACTAACATCTATTGCCAGTCTTTTTTTTTCTTCTTCTTCTTCTTCTTCTCCCTGAAGCCTTCCCCAGTATGTAGTTGTAGATTCTGGTTGTAGGTCCCTCTGGTTGTGCTGTGTGGGATGCCACCTCAGCGTGGCCTGATGAGTGGTGCCATGTCTGCACCCAGGATCTGAACCAGTGAAACTCCAGGCCGCCAAAGTGGAGCGCGTGAACTTACCCACTGGGCCATGGGGCCGGCCCGATATACGTTATTTAAAGAACAATTTTCTCAACTTCCAGTTAGCTTCTCTTCATTTCAGTTTGGAAAATGGAAGTATTTCCCAGACCAAACTGTAAAATAAATCTCTAAAATACCTAACTCCCTACTCCTGATTGCAGACGCCATCATCTGACCATTCTCCAGAGCATCTAAACCCATGTGGATGTCTCTGTCCATCAGGACAGGCTGGATGAGTTGGAGTAATAACTCCAAAAACAAAGTGACTTAAAACAACGAGGTTTCTCTCTCACTCAGGCCCCGAGTCCACCACGGACCTCGGGGCTTGCGCTCTGTCTTGTCCCCAGTCTTGGGTGCCGGGTGACAGAGCAGCTGAGGGGTTGCCGGGCTCGGTAGCACAGAACGTGGGCCTGGGAATGGTCCACACTGTTTCTACTCAGCGGTCAAAGGTCAGAAGCAGACCTGGTCCCACCCCGTTGCAGGGGACCACGAAGTACAATTGCACCACATGTCTAGCTTGTGGCATGTCCAGCTCCAGACTCAGAATGCCACCAAGATGCTAACCCTTCCCCAATTTATCTGGATTTACTTCTCCAGCCTGAACCTCTCCCCTGAACTCCAGACTCACATATTCAATGGCCTTCTTAATGCCTCCATTTGGATATTTAATAAACATCTCATATATAGTGTGCCCAAACCGCAATCTCTGGTCTTTCTCCCCCAGTATGCTCCTCCCACAATGTTCCCCACTTCAACCGATAGTACTTCTATCCTTGTAGTTCGGTGCTCAGACTAAAACTCTAGGAGTCATCCTTGACTCATCTCTTTCTCTCAAACCCGATATCTAAACAATCAGCAATCCCTATAAGCTCTCTCTTCAACATAGCCAGATTCTGACCTTCCTCTGCTACGGCCCTGGTCCAGGCTACCATACCTCCTGCCCAGATCAGTGCAGTAGCCTCCTGGCTGGTCTCTGTATTTGCATCCTTGCAACCTGCAGTCAGTCCTCGACATGGCAACCAGATGGTCCTCTGAGAAGATAAATCAATCAAGTCACTGCTCTGCTCAAACCCTCCAAAGGCTTCCCAGGAAAACCAGAGTGAAGGGTTTTGAGTTGACAATGGCCTTCGAGGCCCTCCATGCTCTGGTCTCCCAGCACCTTTCCAAAGTCATCTCCAGCCCATCACTCGCTCCTCAGCAGCCACACCAGTCCTGAACCCCTCCAGGCACTCTCGCGTCCTGCTCCCGCCGCCTGGTGTCCTCCTCCTTCAGCTCTCTGTGGGCTCTGTCCTCCCCTAGTTCAGGTGGTCAGTAAGCAGCTGAGGAATGAATGAGTGAATGAGTGAATATTTGTGCTCACCGGTAGTCGAGATCTGGGCCATGGAAGTTATAATTTTAGGAGTAAGGGTTACACTTACTAAATCTTTCGAGAAGCAGTACATATTTGCCACAACCCCTAGAAGGCGGACTAGAGATACCACGTGAGAGCAAAATTTAATAGAGGAGACGAGTGAGCTGACACACCGCGTGGACGCAGGGCAGCCGAGGGGACTGTGCATGGACTGCTAATTGATTCTGTCCCCAAGTTTTACTTGGGAACGTGGCCAGCCATCCAGAGACTCTGTTTCTGGCTTTCCCTGCAGCTCCGTGGCCAAAGGCTGAACTCAGGTCAGCCGATGTGAGCAGAAGTGTTTCAGGCAACTTCCGGGTTACGGCCTGCCAGAGAAAGCTAGTAAAGGGAGAGCTAGTGAAGCCAGCGTGGCCCAGGCGTGGACGGTGTGTGTCCAAGATGGCAGAGCTCCCGTACCCCTGGACCGCCTCTCTGGACAGTACGGAGAGAGAGAAAGCTCTCTTCTCTCTCTTATTTGAGCCAGTGTAACCTGTGGTCCCTTCGATACTGCAGTTAAACCTATGCCCTAGGCGTACGAACACAGAGCTGGGGAAGAGACAGCGTTAGCCTTTGATGATGGTGACTGATCAAGAATGGCAGTCACCAAGGGGGAAGTGAACTTTGCCACCTAAAGTGTGCCGAGAGATATTTTTTCAAGCACACATTTTTTCGGAGCGATTGAGAGACTACAGTCTTTATGTCAGCAAAAGATAAGAAGAGGCAATAAATTGAAGTTTTTTGGAAGATAGCCTAATAAGAGTTTTAGCACAAGCTTTTCTTGGCCTAGTTTTCTTGACTGGCCTCAGGTTTTGCATGAGAAAGCCCTTTGGAATGCAGAACAAAGGAAATGTACGCCTTTATCCTATGGGTTTATATATTTATAAATTTCCCCCATCGCTCCATAGCCCACATTATTAACTTCAGATGTTTGTCCTTTTCAAAAATGTTTAGGTCTGAAAACTGATTGGAAACCCTGTTTATCCTTATTTCCCGGTCTGGTCAGCGGATTCCAGAATCTTATCTTCCCCGTTACGGAGAAAGCATGGCTTTGAAACCGTCTCCTTGGAGAGCTCACTTGCACATGAAGCGCAGCCCTCACTCCAAGCCGGCTGGGAAGCACTAGGACACAGAAGTGACATTGCATCAAAGTGGCACAGGAGAGTGGGGGTGGCTGGAAAATCATGGAATCAAAGGAAAATGATCCAATATTTCAAAGAAAATCATGTCCCGTACATTTCTGCTCCATTACAATAGGGGAAGTTGAAGCTGGTCTTACGCGGCTGCTGTCTTAGATGTGGAGCTCTCGGAGTGCTTGAAATGTCTTCTATTTTATTACATATACAAAGGAGCTCTTTAACACGGCTACTGTCTGCGACACGTAAGTCATATCTCAGTTTTCTTTGTCGACTAAAACCATTCTGGACTGGAAAGTCCCGCTACTGAAGACTGCCTCTCGCCGGTGTTCCACAGGTGAACGGCGAAATACGGCAGCCTCTTTAACGAGGAAACTGTCCATTGACCAATCTACCAAAATTGTCCGCCTGTCTTATGTTAGTACCACATTTTTATGATTTTTAACACCTGCAAAATACGCTTTCGTCAAAACTTAAAGCTGCAAAGTAAATAAATAAATAAATAAAATTCGATTGATGAATGGTTTTAGAAAGTAAAGTAAAGTTTCTGGGCTGTAATTACTTTTTAACAATTTATCAGTGAACACACCATCATGAAGTCTCATTATCTGCTTCACAAAAACAAACCTAAAATGCAAAGTTAATGAACCAAAACATCTTGCAAATCTAAGACCAAGTTGACAAGACCATGGCAAATGCATCCTTATAATGACTAGTCTTATGCCCAAACTCCGAAGATGATAGCCTCTGTGGTTCTTGCATGAATGAGCACATGAAGTAACGTGCACCACCTCACGGCCGGCTGTAAAATCATGCTGTGCCATCTCCATCTTTTCATATTCATTCAGCAAACGCTTATTGAGAAGCTCCTGCGTGCCAGCAATAAAGCTGTCTCTGTGCTCGTGAAATCAACAATCAGATGGGACACAAACAGGCATAAGCGATGGGAGGTCCTGCTTTAAATTCTGTTTATTGGGGAAAGAATGGGGTATCATGGGGTGTATAAAACAACACCTTGATTGGGACATTGGGGAGATTTACCACAGAAGTGACAGTTGAACTGATACCTGAAAATAAATATGAATTATCCAAACAAAAGGTAAAAGTTGTTTTCACTGCTCTGGGTAGAGGAGACGGCATGTGCACAATCTGGGAGGCAGGAGAAAAGAGCAAGTTCAGGGACTGAAAAGACTTCCGTGTGGCTGGAGTGTAGGGCGTGAGTATGTGGCAGCAAGAGATGACATCAGAGAAACAAGTGGGAGGAGAAAGGACTGAGAGGTCCTGACCAGACCGCTGGCAGTGAGGACGGAGGAAAGTGGACGGTGTGTGAGGAATGAGGCTGTGGAAGAGAGAGAAATGGATGCTTGGTTAGAGGCAGGGTGAAGAGGAAGAATGGCGAATGGCGAAGGGCTCACAGATTTCTTGATAGACCAAGATAGGAAACACGGGGAGGGAGGGCTGGCAGGCAGGCAAGGAGTCCCGTTTGGATTTGTTGAGTTAAGATATCTGGAGATATCTAGGAGAAGATACACAATTCTCAGCTGGAGCTCAGAGACATAAGCCAGTGAGTTCAGTCATCACCAAATGGTGTATGATGTGGGGGACACAAGATTGCTCCATTTGCTAGCATGAGAACCCCATCTTTTAAAGGCTGACAGAACAAGAAGGTTCAAAAGATTCTGAGATGGAGAGAGTGCAACATGAGACAAGACAAAAGTGACGGAACCAGGAAGAAAGTCAACGTTAGCAGATGGGAGAAGAAAGATGAGTCAGCACAAGAAACTAGGAAGGAGTGGCCAGAGAGATTAGCAGGAAACCAAGAGCGAGTGACGGTAACCAAAATCCAGGAAACAGAGCACTTAACCAGAAGGGTGGTTCTGAGACTTGAGAACAATCAGGAAGAATCGGGACTGAGGATTGTCATCAGGTAATAAAGGGAGAGGATGCCTGGAGAGGACCCAGAACACAGTGGGATGAGTAATGAGTGCAAGGAAGGGAGTGGAGATGGCAGGAATCTACGCAGCTTCTCCAAGGAGTCAACTGCGAAGGGGAGAAGAGATTATGCAATAGCTGAAGGGTAACCAGGCTGCAGGAGTGTTTTGGTTTTTATTGTTTTGTTTTAAGATGGGAGGGATTATAAGTGTTTCAATTTACATCTGTAAGATTCCACGGGGCAAAGATATTTTACACACACTTATGTTATCCACTGCATTTTAGATTATAAGTTGACACTTCGGAGCTCCACTTGATGAATGTACACTTCTCAAAATGGAAACTCATCTTTATTCATGCAGGTTAAGTTACTATAAAACCCTCCCAGGGATATCTGGGCAGCAAAGACATGAACACATTCACCCTGGTCCTGTGCACTGTTGCTACTGTTTTGTTTTGGTTTTTTAATTGTGTTTTGTTAGACATATGCTTTGTCTACTCCCTATTAGAAACACAGAAAACAGGTTTTGTAAGAAATCTTTACAGCTAATCTTCCCCAACCTGTTCTCATCAATCCTTTATGTATCCCCATCAAGGAGTTACTAAACCTCTGCCTGAAAAACTCTGGTGACCAGGTACCCTCAATTTCCGGAAGCAGCCCCCTGGTCTATCTCAGAGCACTTCCGACTTCCAGAAAGTTCTCCATTATACAGAGTCCAAATTGGTCTCCCTGTAACTTTTTTCTGCTGGGAATTATGAGTAGAAAATTTGAGGTCAAACATCACGGTTTCAAATCCCTGCCACTAACCTACCACTAGCAAGTCACACGACTTGGCAAACCACTTATCTGTTTCCTCAGTTTCTTCGTCTGTATAACGGGATGAACGTCAGAACCAGCCCACGGGGCCGCCGCCAGGAGTAATCCAGATAATACAAGCGAAAGTCTAGAACTGAGCTGGGTAAGTATTAACCCCTACCTCCACAGACTCACACAGGAAAAAGGAAGGAAAATCTAATCATCCTAACGTGTCCTAACCTTTGAAATATTTCAAGGAGACCATCACATAGACTCTGCATGTTTCCCCTCTAAATGTCCCAAGTTCCCTCACAGCTTCTCCCCGACGCAGCTTTACATTCCTCCCGCGTCCTGCTTGCTTTCCTCTGGACAGCATTTATTTATATCCCCCTAAACCCAGTTTATTTATACCCCTCCCCTCAGAGGGTGGAGCCCGGAGCAGGATGGAATGCTGCACGTCCTGCACAGAGTGAAGAGGGCCCATGGCTTCCTTTTTGCTTTCTGTTGGAGTTCTGTCAAGGCCGTCTGAGATGCGTTAGCTTCTGTTGTGGTGGAGGTCACGGCTCTCCACGCTGTGTGCAGGACTCAGCGGTGAGTGCACTAAAACCCCTGAGCCTTTGTGCACAGGCTCCTTCTGTCCCAGGGGGGAGGCAGATTTTGGAGGCAAACTCCCTACTAGCTTTGTGCTATTGAGCACTGTCTCTACACCTTAATCTCATCATCTATAAAATGGCATAATAATCACTACCTCATGGAGATTGTTAAGACTGAAAAGAGCTAGTCCGTGTCAATTGTCGGCTGTGTGCCCAGCACACAGTGAGCCCAACACAAATGTTAGCTATGGCTGTTGCCTTTATTATATTTTTTATTCCATGTGTAGGATGTTGCCCAATTCTGTTATAATGCATGTTTCAGAAATATGAGTTTGTTCTGACGCAATTGATGTATTAGGGGACAATTTGAATGTAATGCAAAATTCGTATTTACTCACTGGTGATTTTGTCTGTGAGAAATGCTAGGTGAATACAGAAAGCTGCACCCAGTGGAAGTAAGCACAAAGGAATATACACAACGCACACACCCACACGCCTCCACCACCCGCCGGCCACCTCCACTCACGAAGTGTAGGAGCCATCCCATACACATCTGCTGACACGCTTTCCTTCCGACGCCAGATGACACTGTTTCCACCTCTTCAGAATGACTCACCAGCTACAGTCCTTCGGAGCACGCTGCCACAAGCAAACCTCAGGTCTTTTTCCAGGTAAAGTGCCATGTTCAAAGTAGTTTTGATGTATTTCTTAACCACTTAACCTGGGAAAAACCATGCTGGCATTTTTCCTAGGTTCCTGTCTTTTTTTCATGTGTCACTGAGGCAGGTTTTGAGTGAGTGTCCCAACCCCATCTGCCTGGGAAGCCCTGTGATTTTCCTTACGTGATTTTGCACAGCGCAGCGATCTTCAGGCATATGTCAATTACAGCAGAACTGACCATTTGATCGCCACTAAGTTTTGTAGACTCTCAAAATATTTTGATTCTGTTATCCCTAAATATTTGATGCATCTCATCATCATGTTATGCATGAATTTGGTGAGAATTTTACACTAAATATCTGAATATCAGCAAGGGGAGAGGCTATGTTCTGGAGGATAGCCTTACAAAGATGAAAAAGGCATTTCCTGCAGGATAAAGTGAACTCAGGATAATAATGAAGCTTTAATAACGTTATCAGTTTAATAAGCTATTTTCCAATTTAGCTTCAGGAAGAAAACCTTTTTTCCTGCTTACTGAAATCCTTAAGAGCTGCAGGGCGGGGGACTTTGGATGGCACATAAGAATCGTGTTGTCCAATCTCTTTGCTTTCGAGGTGAGTCAGCATGGCTCTGGGAAATGAATGTCTTGCCAAGGTCGCCCCACTCACTGTTAGTGACCGAGCCAAGTTTCCCGGCTCCCAGTTCACGGCTGTGCTTACAACCCCAGGCTGCCTCCCGCTTACATGTTGTACAACTTTATATCCTTGTAATAACACTACAGTTTATCCAAAACCAGACCTGCCCGTTACCACAGGATGGTTTTGTAGGCAGCTTTTGAGACTGGTAAGGGAGCAGGAGTGGTGAGAGCCTTCGAAAGCTGCCAGGCACCATGATGCAGCTATGTGGGCAGCCGGGCCCCCGCCCACACCATCCCCCAAGCCAGCTGCCCGGAGAGGGGCTTTCTGCCAGCAGAGCAAACCCATGAAATGAGGACAAACCTGGCTCCTTCAAGCGAGTTTCTTTCTTCCCAATTTCCTCCCCTGTAAAATGGAGAAAATGACTTCGTAGGGGTTTTGAAGTCCAAAAGACTCTTCATTTTTTAGGTGGAAAAAAAATACACACACCCTATTGGTATTGCTTGTAATAACAGAAAATCAGAACCACCCACCTCAGTCCCTCTCTGTGAGCGTGCTCTTTTGTTTTTACTAGAATAATTCCAATGAATTCTATTTTTATACCATCAGAGCTAATTAATTAACTTGTTGATAAATCTAGAACTTGTCAGGAGCCTCAGCATAGTATCTTTACTTATCAATTGGTGTACTTGTTTATTTATTCATTAACGTAATTCTCTCCTTATTTTTCTCCGTGAAAGCTCCTGGCTTGACTTGTTCCTTCATGAGTTAGTGTGTTTGCTTAGAACTGGTAATGCACACACAAGGCACGTGATCTAAAAGCTGTGGAAGGCTGTACAGGGGAAACAGGCCAGCTTCTCTCCTCCCTCTCCCCCTCACCTAGGAGAGGAAACTGCTTTTTACCAGATGAGAATCTGTGTCCCTTTCCAGGATGACCCATATGTTCACGATCTTGTGTGTGCGACACAAATGGCAATAGACTATACATACGTTGCCCCACTGCTTCTCAGCGGGGGTCACCTTGTCTCCAAGTGACATCGGACAGTGTCTGCAGACATTTCCGGTTGTCCCAACTGGACCTACTGTTGGCATCTGACGGGAAGAGACCAGGGATGCTCCTCACCACCCTAGGAGGCACAGGATGGCCCCACAACAAAGAATGATCCGCCCCTACGAGTCCATAATGCTGAGATTAAGAATATCTTGATCTTATTATTATAATTTTTACTTTTAAGCTACTTTGACTATTGTTCCTCAAGCAATGTAGCCACAGATTTCCTTAGAATGTAGAGAGAAGAAGGTTTCAAAGTTGCTGAAGAACAGGAGGTCGATTTTGGTTTTGGACCCCCAGCTCCTGGCAGAGAGCGTGGTTGTCAGTGAGTATGCTTTGAATGCATAGATGATTAATTAACGATGAGTCGGAGACGTTTAAAATAAAGTAATAAAATGTACCGTAAGCTATTCTTCCTTCAAACCTGAAATTTCCAATCATCCTCAGCGTTGATTAGATTTTAACTGAAGTGCCACAAAGGAGGCGCAGCTTGGAAATTCTTTGGACCCAAGGAAAACAACGTGGGTTCTGAAGGAAATTTCCTCCTTTGGAAACCAATGTTGGAGAAATTAACTGCCTAAAAGAAGCCCCAGGTCCTTCACCTGTCCTCATCTACAAAGATAAGTTATAAGTTATTAAAATAAACAGAAAGCTTGCCTGGCTTTTTAAACGATGAGGCCAGCCAGCCTCCATAACTGGCGTTAGAACCCACATCACTGAGCGGGATAGAAGGTGTTTCAACTCCATCAAAAGCCTTGAAAAGGAGGACGTCCTTTGTATTGGCTTTCAGGAAGTTTTTCTGGACTGCTATTTATTTTAAATCAGCACCCCCTACAAAGCAAGCCCCCTTTAGGAAACGCAGTGCAGACAGCAACCCTAGAGATGGGCTCTATGATTCCACACTGGACCGAGATATTATTTTTATAGAAAAAATGGATCTCTTTAATCAGCTTTAAAAAAAAAATTGTGAACAGTCACTTCTCTTATTTAAAAGTTTAACTTTACTTTCATCAATTTATAATCAGAGTTCCTCTGGTATGTTTGATTCCTGACAAACAAGGATAAAAGTCTTGTGCCCCCATTGCTAATGAGATGATAAAACAGCAGGGATCAAGTTTTTAATTACTGCAGGCGATGCACTGGAGAGGTACCGATGATATTTTCTATTGCATGTCTAAGTTGTAACTTCAGGCTTATGACAGTCCTGCTGAGCTCCACTGCCTTTGATGATCACTCATTTTTGTCTCCTGAGAACATACAAAAATTTCTGAGCTAGAATCCTGGGGGGCTGGCAATTATTGGCGTAACCTGGTACAGGTACCCCTCTCCAACCATCACGCTCAGTGAGGATCCAGCTTCTTAATGCCTGCCATTATCCCGAAAGGGAAATTGGACATTCAAAATATCTGTGAACTTTCCTACTCAAATGATACCCATTCTCAGTCTCCCAGCATGCGCCTTCCATTAATAAGAAAATGCTTAATTGAATTGGGAGATTTCTAGTATATACTTTTTCATTTCTTTTCAAAGTCGTGCTTGAAATTTTTTCAAAAACCTTATTTTTATACACTTTTGTAGATGTGCATTATACTTCTCACTCTCAGCTGTTTAAACATATTTCTAACAATATTCTCTTTGTTACTGCAGACAGTTGATAATCGAAATTTTTAAAGGTGCCATTTCGGGTCAAGTGTGTGAAATGTAAAGGTCAGACATTCTTACCCTTATTGAAATGGAAGCTGGGAGCGGATTCCATTAATTCTCATGTTCGCAAGACACACACCCACACACACACACACACACACACACACACTGGATGGCCAGAGCACTCAACAAATAAGGCTTGCTCAAAAACCTGTGTTTAGCCATAGAAACTAGAGCACAGAATTAACCTGACTTGTGGATGATCACCAACCCAATCTGAATCCAACTAACCAGTTATCAATCAACTACCCAACTCATCAAATAACTAGCCAGCTTATCAACCAATTACCCAACTCGTTAAACAACTAATTTTTGATCAGTCAAGTAACTTCTAAGTTATGAAGTAAGAATTGAGTGTCAGAATCACAAGCATTGGCTGAGTCTACCAAGTGGTTTAAATTTCTAAGATTTTCGATCATAAACATAAAAATGCATCCTCAGCTACTACATTGGGGAAAGCCCATGGATGAAAAGAGATTCGCTGATCAAAAGGTAAATGGACCTTTCTTGTCCACCCATCCCTCAGAATCTGAATTTACAATGCCCTTTAGGGATTTCTAATTTATCAATATGACTTTTATGGCCTTTAAAAATATCACACATGTGAAATGTGAAGACCGATATTTGTAGCTTAGTTTCTTCTTGGCAAAGGGGAGCAAAAAATGTTTCAACTGTGTAATTTATATATAATTCAGAAAACACATTGCTTGTATTAATCAGGATAGACCAATTGCTGTAACAAACAGTGCACAACCTCAGCGGCCAAACACAGTAGATGTTTATTTCTTGTTCATGGGAGTCCCTGTGGACGGGCCTGGTCGGGCAGTGCTCCCGGGCGGCTGTCCGTGGGGTCAGCTCCTCACATCCAGTAGTGCTCCTATCTTTTCCGACCACAGAGCGCGCCACTGGGCTCTCCACGTCTGGCCAGCAAAAGGGGAAAAGCCAGTTTGAAGACCTCCTGGGGCTTCAGGGTCCGTGGCCAGAAGAGCTGCTCTAGAGTGCCCACCTTCCATTGGCCAGAAGGGGTCCAAGGCGTCACACAGACGCAAACGAGCCCAGGAAGAAAATGAATTGGTTTGGTAAACAATGTAAGTGACTTTTCTGCATTAATTATAATAATTCTTTACTCCTATAGGATGCTTTATAGTTGTCAAGTTTTATTGATATTATCTCACTTCATCCTTGGAGTCTTGGAAATTAGACAGAGATGATTATTATTTACAGATCAGAAAAATGAGGTTCAAAATTCTTCATTGCCTTGCTAGTGATCAGACAGTGCTAGAGCTAGAACCGGGTGCTGGTTTTCCTCTCTTCTCCTTTGATATCTGTTATGCCACATGCTTGCCTTGATTTGTGGTCTACTGTCCTTCAGAAATAGTCATGATAAGGCCATCTATGCTGTAGAGAAACAGCATCAAAAGACACTTAATCTTCTGTATAACATAATGTGATATTGAATTGACTGTAAAATACTAGTGATCTAAGCTACAGAACTCATTCTCATTTTTAATGATCTGCTCACTCACATAATTGGAAGTCTACAAACTCTGGTAAAATGTATACATAGAGGAAATAAGTAATCCAGCTATCAAAGATAGATCTTGAATTTGTTTACATCTTATTCTATCAAGGACCATATCAACTTTCCTTAGAGCATGGCTAATATTTTCATAACTCTAGGACTGTGATGTAGTTAAGCCTTGTATTACTTTTGTGATGTGAGGCAGACCAGAGAAAAAGAGATAAATGCTTAAAGTAAAATAAGGGTCTAACATAATCATCAAGATATATTCACACAGATGAATAAAGTAGTAAAAACTTGAATAAGATTTTTAAAAAAATTTTTCCTTCAGAAACACATAGACCAGAGCCCTATAATTGGTCAAACTGCTCAACTGTGAGACTATTTTTAGCAAAACAATTGTCCAAACAGTTTAGATTTGGGCCAGGTAGACAGGGAAGAGCTGATCATCGCTGGGTCAGTTCAAAACCAGGGTTGAAACCACGAATGGACCAGAGTATAACCTTCCTGCCTAGTCACACTAATAATCGTAGACATCGACTGAGTCCTGTAGAATGCCAGCACCGTGCTCAGAATCGTATGTCATTATCTGGAACCCATACAACAAAAATGCAAGATAATAGTATTCTTCGTCGTCTTCTTTTAATCAAAGACACACGGAGGAAAAATGGCAGGCAGAGCCTCATTTAATAAGTCAGATCCGGATAATTCTAAAGCCTGTGTTGGGATGATTGCAATGTACAGTCCAACTGTCATCAGGAGAGACAACTGCTGCCACGTCTGTGCTACCGCGTGGCCGTAGACCCGGTGGTTAGGAGTGTGGGCGGCGGGCCAGACCTCCGGGTTCAAGACCTCCCTTTCCTCTTGGCCATGCTACTTCACCTCTCGGCATGGCAGTGTGCCTGTTTATAAAGAGGGGTGACAACGGCACCCGCCCATTGTGTGGATTAAACGGGGACAATACACATCCAGCACATAGTAACCACGCTGGCCGTTGCTGCTATTCCTTTCGGTTTGCTGAACTTCATCAGTAGATCGTGAGTCACCCCGGGGGCGTGTTCAAAGCACCAACGCCAGCCAGCACATCGGTCCTCGGAAATCTGAGGAAACCTGCCTCATAGACATCCTTTACTGACTCACATTTCAGCAGCAGGGAGTGCCCTCATACTTCCTCTAAATATGAATCAGCACCGTTGTTCATAAGTATCCCATTCTCTCTGAGATTTCAGCAATTACCAACGTCAACCCAGGACATCAGAAAGAAAGGAAGAGAATTGAAAATCCCTAGGAACACACATTTCCTAAAGGGAAGTCAAGAAGCTAACGTCTGCCTCACAGACATGGATTTGGGAGGAGGCTCATCTCAGGCATAGTTAGTGCTGAGACCCCAAGAATGGTCCCTTCCACCCCGTTGTGTGGTTAATCCACGCAGGGCTTAGCTCGGACAGCAGCGAATTCGGGGCACTATTTCAGAACTTGCCAAATTTGAGGCACAGGAAAGAATCATGTCCTTGGTGTTTTTGTTTCTTCCATCCCTCTCTCCATCTCTGATCATATAAAGGCTGTTGACTGGCCCCAGCCATGCTAGGTCATGTCCCCCGTGACACATCTCCATCCTCCCAGTGGGAGATGGGTGAGGCTATAACATGGGACTTGTTCACGAAGTTGTCTCCAAGCCAGGATGCCATTTAACATATATTAGAAAGTATAGATTTTCATGAAATATAAGCTATGAAATTGAATATATCAATGAACCTCTTAGTACATAAAAATTACTATACCTGGTTACTTTATAAATTCCTTCTACAATCTCTAAGGTGGTATGGATGACAGGAAAACATCTTATTTATTTGAGTTCTTTATAACACAAAGATTTAATAGGAATTCCCAACAATCAAATTTGTCCTTAGCTCTATACATTCAAGAAAAAACTGTTTACATCTTCTGAAATATCATCTATGGTGTGGTGGTCAAGCTTGAGTGGGCTAAGGGATGCCAGATGGCTGGTGACACATTATTTCTGGGTGTGTCTGTGAGGGTGTTTCTGGAGGAGATTAGCATTTGAATTGGTAGACTGAGAGAAGAGCTCTGCCCTGGTCCGTGCGGGGGGGCACCATCTAATCCTTTGGGGCTTCAAAGAGAGCCAATAACATGTGAAGGAAGGGTGAATTCTTACTCTCTTCTTAAGCTTGGACGTCCATCTTCTCCTGCCCTCGGACATTGGACATCAGAGCTCCTGGTTCTCAGGCATTTGGAGTCTAGAACTCCCCTCAGCAGCCCCCGCATCTCAGGCCTTTGGCCTTGAGCTGGGAGTTACACCATCGGCCCCCCTGGTCCTCAGGCCTTAGAACTCAGACTGAATTGCGCTACCAGCTCTCCAGGGCCTCCAGCTTGCCGACAGCAGACTGTGTGGCTTATTGTCCTCCATAATTACGTGAGCCAATTCCTATAACGAATCTGTTCTTACATGTGTCTACATACATAGATTCTATTGGTTCTGTTTCTCTGGAGAACCCCGACTAATACATACAGTTTATGAAATATCCAGGCCAATGCTTTATATTTGGTCATGGCTGCACTATGACTTTCAGGAATGCTAGGTACTATTGCTTTTGTGGGCCCTTACCTCTATAAAAACAAACAAAAAACTAACATTTATATTTTATGATTGCATTGGTATAAAAACTAATGTAATCCAGGCCAGCTTACACTAATTTTTTCCTACTGATTTTAAAAGAAATTAGAACATTTCTGTGGGCTTCTAAAAGTATTAGGGGTCCTGCACCTCTGTGCATAATGGCCAAGTCCACTGTGTCTGGTCCTTAAATATTATATAACAAAAATTGACTTGGAAAGTGATAGCCCTCAAGAATAGGATGTTTAACCATTGAAGACCTAAGCTATTCATGACCCACATGGACTAAAATAAGTGCTTATCTAGAGCCTACTGGGTGCCAGGCATTACTCCAGTGCTTTCATATCTGCAAACTCTTCCAGTGCTCAGAGCCACTTTATTAGGTGGTTACCATCATCATCATCATCATCACCACCACCATCATCATCCTCATCACCATCATCTTCATCATCATTACCATCATGTTCATTTCCATTATCTCCACCACCATCATCATCCTCATCACCATCATCACCATCATCCTCATCATCATTACCATGATTTTCATTTCCATTATCTCCACCACCATCATCATCCTCATCACCATCATCCTCATCATAATTACCATCATTTTCATTTCCATTATCTCCATCACCATCATCATCATCATCACCATTGTCTTCGTTTCCATCATCAGTATCATCCCCATCATCACTGCCTGAATCATCATCATCACCATCATCTTCATTTCTGTCATCATCATCATCTCCATTTTACAGGGAGGGTGAGTGACTTGTTCAGGGTCACACACCAATAAGTGGCGGGGTTGGGGGTTTATGACTGCAGAGTTTACACTCTGAATCTCCACACCACTCCACCTCTTGTAGGTTCAGTACTTAATTGAGACGGCCAAAGTAGACTTATTATTGATGTCTTCCCACTGTAAGACTGTTAAACGTAAATATTTAACAGAAAACATTCAATGTAGGAAATAAACAAGGAGAATACTTTATTCCTTGATAATGATTAAGGATTTTTTTCACTTTAATGAGAATTTTAAAATATAATTATATGCAGAATAATTTGTAGAAAATATTTTTAAAATAAATGCCAAGTTTATGTAAGTTCTCCTTATGTACCTATCTTGTTACAGTTATAGCAACATAGACATAATTTTTTGTGCTTTTTTCTCTTTAATGTTATCTTTGTGCAGTGTTCGCATCCATTAACGTAACTGCTATCCTTGATAATCTGAACAGTTACATGATATTCAATCATACTGATAAGCCAGGTTTCCCTGAGCAGTCCTCAGGTCCAAGGCATAGAATTCTTGCCAATTTCTCACCATTATAAATACTCACGCTATAAATACTCTGGATAAAGTGTTTTTAGATGAGTGGTTCCCTGGGTTATATTCCACAGAGTGGGATTTTTAGGTCAAAGGTATGGATAATTTTATAGCTGTTCCTACATATTTCTTTATGTGCATATTGATTAAATTAAGTTTTGTAGCATATGGAGCATATAACAATTTATGATGACTTTTGAAATCTAGTTCTATCAGTTAGGATGCCTCCAGCTACAAATAACAGAAGACTCTTCAAGACGACTTCACAAGAAGTTTGTAGGAAAGTTGTATCAGCTGTCAGTTGGGATCCCAATTTTTTCCACCTCTCCCTCTGTCGTCCTTTATCTGGCAGTTTATCCTTTTAAACTGACTCCCACTGGGGCCCCAGACGGCTGCCAGAGTTCCCAAGCGAGAGCAACGAAGGAGGAAGCAGGCAGTCTGGTTGTCGTGGCCAGCAGACTATGGTAACAATTTAGCGAAAGATCATGGTGCTCAGGCCAGAGTGAGAGCAGTGAAGAAGTGGTCAGATTCTAGAAATATTTTGAAGACGAAGCTGAGAGAATTTTCTGATGGCTGGATGTAGGCTGTGCAGGAGAGGTGTTGA